ATTTATTTATTTATCTTATGTATATAGCCGCCATCTCACACAAAGTGACTTTTCACCTGTTCTGACACTGAAACTCACCTTACTTTAATTTGCCACTGCTGCTTAGATTTCAGAGTTAATCACTTCTACCTGGTTTAATATTTCAGCAGAATAACTCAATTCTCCAACCTGGAATTCTCTGGAACGTTGATGACAATTCCCACCACCCTTAGCGCTCTTAGACAAATATACTAACCCAAAATACAAAGAACTGAACAAAGCTAAGCTTCTGGAATAAAACATGATTAATCTGAACATCCCTCCCATCAAAACGAAGGGATAATTAGTATTGGCTGACCCAAAACATTATAAGTTTACTTCTACACACATACAATTTGGGGGGCCACTTTCCTGAAGCAATCCCAGCAGACAAACATTCCAAAAACCTAAAAAGAGATAGGATGAATTTCTTCTGCTAACTAAGAGAAGCAACAGCGAGGAATGTCAAGAACCAGGGAACGAAGGCAATTGTATTTTATTTCTCACAAATCACAGAAACTGGACACCTCATCCTTGTTCTGGTCAGTTCTGTGGAGATGATGATCACGGTAGCTAGCTAGCAACAGTTGCAGATGATAACACAATACTAACAAGCAATTGTTGGGATTTTGTTGTAGCCTATCACTAGATGCGTGCAGCTTTGTGGAATAAGGTAAGTAAAAGGAAGATTCTTGCTCCGAGGAGACTGCAGTCTAAAATTCTACATGGAGGAACAGAGGGGAGGAGCTTACGCCATCTTCCCTCTATTTTGTCTATGGCTCCTAAGTAGATTATTTCTTTGTGTTGCTTCAAATCCTCTTCTTTTTCCCAGTTTTCCCAGGCTTACCTACTCTGTTCAAGAGGACAAGCTCATCTTGCCCCTAATTAACACCAGGTCCTAATAACGGTCCACATTTTGTTAGCAATAGCGATAATAAATATATCCTGCTTGGATGCACACACATCTTCCTGAAGACATGCACATAGAGACAACAGCTATATGAGAGCACCGCTCATACGCACCTACAGCTGTCACGGGTGCGTAGCGTTTTCTAGCGCCTTGAAGATTTTTCGAGAGTTTGTGTACAAGTAGATAAATAGCAATAAGACTGAAGAGGATATACCAGCCATAGTCTGACAATAGTGAGCTCACTGGAAGAGAAGACAAGGCAAGAATTTAACTTGGATACAGAACAAAGAACAAGGAACAGGTCAGGATTTGGTCTGCTGGAACAGCAATGTGGCACTGAAAAAATACAACTGTGTTAAGCTAACAAACGACCAACTAAAGGCAGAAAAACATTATTCCATACATCTATGGTGACAGATACCTAGTAATTTATCACGCACAGTCAATTGCTCCCATTGCTAATACAGCACAGCAAATTTCTGCTCATCCTTTGAAGGCAGTTCTTCTCTGATGCTCAGAGGAAAAGTTGGGGGGCGGAGAGACTGGTATTCTGGACTGTGAGGTCCTTAAAATTATCACACCACACATAAGCATCCTGTTCAAGACAATTCACTTCTATTCTTCCTAGTGGAATGGAACCCTGTCATAAAAATCCAAGTGCTGCATTGTTGGGTCAGTCAGTCATTTCTAAACTGGTGCTTCTAGAAAGCCAGAACTTGCATACAGGTAATCCTTGCTTAACAGCAGCAATCGGGACTGGAATTTCCATTGCTAAGTTATGCAGTCATAGAGTGCAACATCATGTGACTGCATTGCTTAGCGACAGCAATCCCAGCAGTCCCTGCTGCTGTCATTATGTGAGAACCGCGGGTTGTTAAGCGAGGACCTCCTCACAATTTCCTGTTGGCTTCCCACAGCCAAATTCAGTGGGGAAGCTGGCAGGAAGTTGCAAGTCCCAGATGGCTTGCAAGCATGCCGTCAGGCAGATAAGTGGCTGCTACTGGGTGGGGGAGGGTGCATGGGTGGCTGCAGCAGCATGCACGAGTGATTTTGGGCCCAGGGGTGGCTGCTGCCGGGTGAGTGCTTACCTGAGTGACTTGCGACCTTCCCTGTTGGCTTTGCCATTGACTTTACTTGTGGGAAGCCGGCAGGGAAGGTCACAAATGGTGATCACGTGACTGTGGGGTGGTGCAACCATCATACGTGCAAGCCAGTTGCCAAGTGCCCAGATTGTGATCACATGACTGCAGGGGTGGTGCAACAGCCAGAACTTCGAGGACCAGTCGAAGTACTGCTCGTTCAGCACTGTTGCAACTTTAAACAGTCGCTGAACAAGTGGTCAGTAAGCAAGGACTACCTGTACTTATTTCTACTCTCAATCTTTTCTATTTTATTGTGGCACACTGACGGATCATCTTAACAGACATGACTAACACAATTATTTGTTCTTTGCTCAAAACTCACTCACCTTATAGATGTAGCTGAAAGATTCATTTATTTCCAGAAGAAATGCCTCTTTTTTATACTTACAACAAAGGGCAGTTTTATTTGGTTGTTGTGTTATTTTGTAATTGAAGCTATGAAGCTACTGTGTCATATAGTACCACTGATATATTTATGTTAACTATTTTAACCATTTCTTTCCCACTTTTCAAAAATGTTTTTCCCCAAAACAGTAAACATGTTTGCAACAAGGAAACAAGAAAGGAAAGAGTTAAAAATGATACAACATCCACATGAAACAGTAGCAAAAACCTCGAACAGTCAGAATTAAGAAAACCATACTCTTAATTCCCAACATCTCAATCCAGATATAACTTGAATAAAATATAGTTGTCCTTTAGTTAAATCTCTGAAGATGTTTTATGACATGATTGCTATATGTCACTCAGGGAACTTGACTAAAAAGGTGGAACAGAAGCGTAATGTAATGTTACAGCACATCTGGTATGTAGGCTCATGACACTGTAATCTAACTGAAATCAGTCTAGTCAAGGTTTGAAAAAAGGTTCATGTAGATAGTTCTTAGAAACCGTAAGTTTCATGGTGGAAAAAGGGTGGATGTGAATAAAGAATATATAATGAAGGCAATCAAACCCAAACCAAAATAAAAGTTTGGATCTATCAATATGAGGCCCACGTGACATCGTATTCTGCAATTCCATATACATGATTTTTTTCTCTCCCATTTCTTCTTCTTTTTGCATGGGGAATTAGAGGGGGATTTATATTACAGACACAGACTTTTATTATTGCTGCGTTTAAGATCTCTAAATAGATCCAGGTGCAAAACAGCAGCACAATTATCTTAATCATACCAAATGCATCAGCCTAAATATTCAAATTCAGCATTGCATCTAAACTGCTGTAGATCAGGGTTTTAATACACCGTTGATTCCAAGATGGTGTCCTTCTGCAGATATAAATCATGGGTGAGGGGGGACTATATCCTGTGTCATTTACCATGTTGTCTGGAATTCTAAAAACCATAATCCCAGTATTTGAAGAACCACAGGCTGGGGAAGTCTCTTCTAAAAAGCCATATGCACTAGGATTGTCGGTGCTTCAGTATGATTCCAAAAAGAAGTGCCAGAATGCCGGGGACCGTGAATGTAGCACTTGTCGGCAGCTGCCACGTGATCTTGGAAAAGACGCAGCTGCTTTAAAGACCCGCAGGTGCTGCATTTGTGCTACCACACACTGGGGGAACTTTTTTGCAACCATCTAATCCACGTAGGGCCCAGCCCTAATAAACACCTGTTTCAAAAGACCTCCTTAGTACTCTAATGACCCAAAGGCAAGGCAGCAGGCGTCAGTGATGGGCTGATGGACTGCCACAACAGTCTCTCCGTCCTTCGTCTCCTTTTGAATTTCCGAAAGCGCCTGGAGCATAAAAAAGCCCCACACTTTAACATCAAAACCCAAGAGTGCCCCAATGCGTGGAATCCCACAAGGCGAAGACTTTTGCCCACTTTTCTACTCCCCACATTTCAGCCATCTGGCTTTGAGAAGGGGGGCGGGAGCCCACTTTTTTAGGATGGATCTTGCTAAGCAATGGAGAGGAACATTCCAGTCTACCCCGTGCTCCCTCCTGTTGTGCACTATTGTTGTTGTTGTCATTATTATTATTACAAGCGATACTTAGCGTTATTACATTTTTTTATCCCCGCAAGGTATACGGGCCGTCATCCAGCCTTCCTGAGCTTGGTCGCCGCCGCAAACATTGTGCCTGTAGCTCCCCAAACTCGAAGCCCGCACATCTGAGGATTATGGGGATTGTAATCCCCACCCCTCAGGAGAGCCCCAGGCTGGCAAAGGCTGGATTAATCTTTGTAGAATGTACTAAAGCGCAACAACACGCCCACTTCTTTCTCGGTTTAGGCCCACGCAACCCCTACTCACTAGAAATGGTATACTGCCTTTGAGCATGGAGGTTCCATTTTAACGCCCTAAATTCGGAACTTCTCCCAAGGAAGCCACAAAGCGCCCCCCAGAACAGATTTACCCTCACCTGCGTGGAGAAGGAACTGGACGCCTTCCTGTCCCACAGGAGGGCCCTGGGCAGGCGGTGGCGCGTCACCCTCCATCCCGCCACAAGCCGGAACGGCTCAGCCGCATCCGGGTTTCTTGCTCTCCGACGGCCAGCCAATGACAACGCCGCACGTCAGAATTCCTTCTCCCAGTGGGGGCGTAGAAAAGGTTGGACCAATCGGGAGCCGAAACGGAGAAGGCGGAGCAACGTCTCGGCCAATCAGGAGAAGGGGGTTAAGGTTAAGATGACTAGGCTGAACGGCGAAGGCAAGGCTTCTCTAGGGGGCGTGGCTACTTCGGGAGGCGGGGCGGCGAGGAGCTGCGGGAAACTTGAGGGAGCCCGGCGTAACTTACAAGCGTGGAGGAGGAAATGTACACTGCGTCGAGTTTGCAGAAGCCGAAAAAAAATTGAGATGCGTTTTGTGCCTGTAATACAGAGGCACACGTTTATACAACGGAGCTCAACACATGCGCTTCAAAATGCATTTCATGTTTTATGTACATACCGGTGCGTGCACACACGTGCACGGGCATTTAATAGAAATAGGCCCAATGGGTCTTTGTTCTTCATGTGTTGAACACCTCTGTAACACAAACGGTTCTAAAAAGTGATTTCTGGCCTGTCTAGATTCAGACCAAAGCTATCTGTCTCCCCTTTAACGCATCAGACGTTGAGCACCAAGGAAGAGCTCTCTCAGACAGGACTTTCCCAGTTGTAACAACATACATGGGTTCTGACTAGTGGCATCAGGCATCGAGGACAGACATTTCAGTTCTTTTCTGGGTGCACTGCCAACGGGGTAGTCACAGGAGGTAGATCAAAAGAGCTACTTTGATAACACCAGTGACAAGTCCAAACACGTATACCTTATTATCTGGTTTATCATGGGCCACACAAGCTTTTTTTAAAAAATCAGGAACAGTAAAACAGGTCTGTTTCACCATTTGACAGATATTGAGAGTCAAAGTAGCGGCCACGATTCCTGCTTGTCTGCATGGCATTACAACTCCAGCAACCTGAACTCACAATCTATTTTTTCAGTATCAGTGTCAACTCTGCCAACTAAAAAGATAAATTTCACCATAATTAATTCTAAAGTTGGCATGTTGCATCCAGAACACTAAATTTGCACTGCATAGTAACTAATCTACTTTTCTTTCTGCTCAGCTGAACATTCAGCTATTCATTTTTCATCTTTTTTGCTATTTTCAATCAGCAGTAAGTGAAATCTTACTTGAATCTGAGCCTGCAAACATGACTTAAAAAGCAAATTCCCAAAGAGTTTGCTATTTGTGACAGAACAGCACAATAAAGGAAAACATAAGAGCAGATGTAGCTGGGAGACTGTGCAACCCCAATAACAGTTCTAATACTACTAAATTAGTTTATTAAACTGTTAATCTAGTTGAACATAGTTTAAACATCATTAAAACAGTTTACACTGAATGGCGTAATGCATTTCAAAAAAGGCAGCTTTATTTAATTTCAAATGTACAGTATAAAATTTACAAACTACAATTGGCATATTTCCATAGTACTTCTCAACAAAACTAAACAAAAAAGTTATATTCAGGAAAGAACTCAAAAGCTCAGCCAAACAATCGTACACTGTAGATCATCCAAGATGTAAAAAAGTGCATATTAAGATCCATTGGCAACTGTATCTTCTTCCATCTCTTCCTCAGCCTCATCTGAAGGGCCTAAGTAACAGGTAAGAAATTAAAAAAAACAACAACTTAATTCTCTCCACCAGAGATGTGAAAGATCATATTCTTACAGAAGGAACAGTTGTACTCAGGTTTTTTTTTTTCATTTGGAAAGATTAATTTACAACATCCCACACCAATTCACCAACTTCCT